AAGGTAAAAACAGTATGGAACAAATTATGTGATTCAGGAGGTTGCTTCCTCCTGCCACTAGAGGGTGGTACTGGTGTTGTTTGTGAGATGTATTGTGTTTCAGACGGTTTTATTTCTGGTAGCAAGGAGTAGCTAGCCTAGGCTAGCGCTAGCTTAGCATTGCTATGGCTTCTCTCTCTCCCTCCCTTGACTCTTTTCCAACTCTTCCTTCTTCCTCTCCTCTCTCCTGCTCTCTGTGTCAGATGTTCAGTTATTCCTCTGCCTCCTTTAGTGATAATGGGATGTGTAATAAGTGAAGTATTTTTGTAGCTTTGGAGGCGAGGGTTTCACAGTTAGAATCCAGACTTCAGGCTGTTGAACATCCAGGAGTTAAAGACAAGTACAGACTGTTGATGCTGTTGATCATAATATTCTATTAGAAAGACTTGAATATTGAATATACTTGAATTGATGGGGTTGCTAGTTCTCTGTGTACTGCCTTAGAAAACGCAGCTCCTTTGAAAATGAAAACCGTTAAAAATAGAAAGCTGGCTCCTTGGTTTAATGCAGAGCTGTGCACTTTGAGGCAAAATGCTAGGAAACTGGGGAGAAAATATCACTCCACAGGCCTACAGGAATCCTACCTAGTCTAGAAAAATTGTTTACTGCTGTGTAAGAGGACCCTTTGTAAAGCAAGAGCAGCATATTTCTCCTCATTAATAGAGGAGAATAAGAATAATCCTAGATTTCTTTTTAATCCAGTTGCCAATGCTCCGGCATTGCTGTGGCTGGGGGGATTTCCTTGGGGTCCTCTCTCCTCCTCCCTTGGCGGGGGGGTAGATTTCCTTGGTTGGCCCCTCCTGGGCACCTCTGCTCTTGGGGTCCCTCTGGATGTATGGGGCTTTGGGTCCCTGGTGCTCGGCTTTGTGCTCTCTGGGGGCGCCTCTTTGGCTCTAAACTTTACATGCACAATTGCACTCTCACAAACAACTACACGTGCTTGGTTCCAGGTACTCAGTGATTCACTTCCATACAAAAAGACCATTTTCGTATCTTCAGCTACCACAGTGTACATGTCAGATTAAATAATACTACTTATACTTCAGCGATGGTACTGAGGTGTTACTTTATTGTGTCTCTAATACTATATCCATTGTTTTTGCAGTAATTTTCACATCTCTTTACAGGTGATGAAGCAGACTGAACACGGCTTATCGTTATCTACCTTTTATCTCCTCTTTCTGTAATCTTTTCTCCTTATTTTCAAATTTTCCTTTCCTGTTCTACCTACATTGCAGTGTCCATATAATCTGTAAAACTCCCTGCATAATAATAAAGCAATTTATATGCATAAGTGAAGCGGAACACTATGGCGATAGCCGTACTGCTCCACTTGTGAAAGTAAAATCTGTTGGCCTCTTTTTGGCATCAAGACAATTATTCTTTTATTGCCACATCGCCAGACAGGAGATTGTTAAAAAAATAAAATAAAATAAAAAATATATATATATATTTATATATATTTATATATATATATAAAACTACACTATCTGATGATTTACTAAAATTGAACCTTCTTTTGGGGGAGGAGAACTCTGTTAAAGTAATCCTGAAGGTTATTAGAAAGTGGTCAGAGAGGACAGGGTTGTAAGGAAATATTGTTATTTCTTCAAATTCTATGTGGGACTATTCACATTTTGAACAAAGCCAATAGTGTCTAAAATAGCATTAAAGGCTGCTCTTAAGCTATCACCTTCAATGTCAGCATGGATGTTAAAATCTCCCACTATGATGACCCTGTCAGTATTTAATACCAAATCAGATAGGAACTCTGAAAACGCATCTAAAAATTCAGAGTAAGGACCTGGTGGACGATATAAAGTTAAAAAAAGAAGAGGTTTTCTTGCATTGAAATTTGGATGAGGGAAACTAAGGGTTAAATGTTCAAATTAATTATAATTATTAACTGCCTTTGGAGTAATCAGTAAGTCAGACTGAAAAATTGTTGTTACTCCTCCTCCTCGTCCAGAACTTCTGTGGATGTGAAAATTTAAATAACTAGAAGGAGCTGCCTCGTTGATGCTCACACAATCCTCTTGCTGCAGCCAGGTTTCTGTAAGGCAACATAAATCAGTGTGATTATCACAAATCAAGTCATTAACTAGCAGACTTTTAGAGGAAAGAGATCTTATGTTAAACAGACCACATTTAACCATTAACTTTTTCACTAATTGGAGTTATTTTTATTTTTATTAGATTATCATGATTTACTCCTTTGGGAATATTTGCTATTGTCCTGTTGTATCTCAGTGCTGCCATTGATACAGTTGACCATAATATTCTTTTAGAAAACTTTAATATTTTGTTTTAATTAGAGGAACAGCTCTGGACAGGTTTAAATCTTATCTATCTGTTGATTTAAGTTTGTTCACGTTAACGACA